CCTAATCCTAATAGACAGAGGTGACCGTTACTACGCACTTACGTTGGGCCCTTTATCAAATCATCTCATCTGATCCTCAAATGAGGCAGGCGTTATTTCTGTCCCCGTTTCACAGCTGAGGAAAATGAGGCTGAAGGGAGTTAAGTGACCTCCCAGTCCCAGGGCAGTGATGACGCTGAGACTAGAGCTGTGTCTGCCTGGTTTCCAAGCCCACGTTCTCACCCTCTCCGGTGAACGTGTTAGAATCCCCACTATTCTGTTAGGACGTTTGTTTCCACCCGTATGGGTAGAGGGGTGGGAATTCTAAGACAGAATTTCGTGAACACTCTCCTGACACTACGATTCGCCAGCCATTGTTCCAGGCACTTTACGATTTATCCCAACCCTCAAGGAACTGAATGATGGGAGGAGACAGGTAATAATAATACCCTGAATTGATAGTTCAGAATATTATTAACAGCAAGAAGTGATGCCAACGATCGGGGATGGGGGTGCTGGTGGGATCCCCTGTAGCTCTTTGGAGACTGTGAGAGGGAAACAGGATGGGGAGGAAATTTAGGAAGAGAGGCAGCAGTAAGGGTAGAGGTTCCAGAGGCAGGAAGGAGATGGTGTCGGTGGTGGGAGTGGGGCAAGTAGGATGGTTCCTCGGCTGGAGCAGAATGTTCCTGATGGAGCAGTGAGTCAAAAGAAAATCTAGACAGAGTGGTGGGGGAATTAGGGCATTCCCCCAAGCAGTAGGGAGCCACTGAAGGTTGACCAGGGAAGGCAGCGTTTTAGGAGTATGCCTCTGGCGGAGGCACGCAGTGTTGAGAGGTTGTAGGGTCAGAGGTAAGGAGGCCATTACTGTCAGAAAGATTAGGGGTAAGAAAGAGAAAAGAGGAACCCGCAGGCAGGCCCCGGCGTCCAGGAGACCGTACCTGCTCCCCTCCCATCCCCACAGGTGAAGCAGAACCTGCTCAACGTCTCCTACCACATCACGCAGTACACCGGCATCATCGCCGACCTGCGGGGCGAGATCCAGAGGCTCAAGTGCAAGATCGACAAGCAGGGTGGGCGGGGCCAGGCCCACGGCCGGCTGGAGCGGGGCGACATCTGTCACATCCAAGGTGTGTGTGTGGGTCTGTGTTAGTGGGAGCCCGTCTCCCGAAGCCCCGTCCAGGCCGTCTCAAATTGCTCATGGGTCAGGCGGGGCCGGGTTCAAAGCTAGACTCAGATTCTTTCTGGCTGGGTAGCCTTGGGCTAGTCATCAACCACTCTGAGCCTTCAGTCCTTCAATTGTCAAATGGAATCACGATCTCTGCTTCAGAGACTCGACCTGAGGGTTAGGTGGTATCACACGAGTGAGTGGCACGTGGGCATTTAGCTGTGTGGGGCGTCACTCTTGGGGCTGCAGTGCAGGGCTCCGAGACTGTGCCTGGCATCACCAGAAGGGATACGGTGCTCATACACTTTCTGTATTTGCTATGATGATTTTCCAACAGATGGCAGTAAAGTGTCTAAAGGGCACCTTTTATTAGTTGACGGAAAGGTGCTCTAAAGGCCGGCGGAAGCCCAGTTCATACAGAGAAGCTGGGAATCACCTTTGGGTCATAGCCTGAAGACTCAATGCGGAAGTGGGATGTGGGAGGGCTGTGGTAATCTAGGAGGTCTTTCTGGAGGAGGTGCTTGCACAGGAAGTCATTTGGGAAGAAAGAGAGGGGAGGGCCCCAGGTAGCCCAGACATTCTTGGCCTGACCCTTCCTCCTCCACTGACCTCCCCCACCTGCCGCTCAACGGCCAGCCAAGGTCCAGCTGCACAGCGAGAAGGGTGAGCAGGCTGAGATGGGACAGCTGCGGGAGCAGCTCATCAGCGCCTTCCAGGAGCAGATGGACGTGCGGAGACACCTGCTGGAGCTGGAGAACCACGCCATGGAGGTGCAGATCGACACCTCCCGCCACCTGCTCACCATTGCAGGGTAAGCACCCACCGCCTGGGACAGGGGCTGGGAGCTGGAGATGCATGCCGTGCCTCCCACCGTGGCCTGAATCCCGGGTCTCCCTCGGGGGTGGGGCTGCGGCAGCTGGGAGCACGAGAAGTCACGCAGGGCGCTCAAGTGGAGGGAGGAGCAACGCAAGGAGTCCTACACCAAGGACGACAGTGAGAAGGACTCGGACACAGGCGATGACCAGCCAGACATCCTGGAGCCCCCCGAGGTGGCCTGCGCCCGGGAGAGCATCGCTGCCCTGATGGGGGAGCAGAAGAAGCTGCGAAAGCAGAAGGTGCCTGGGGCTTGGGGGTCTGGGAGAGTGGGTTTGAGAGGCCCCAGCAGGAAGGGGCTGGGGGAGGCCTGTGCGAGGAGTGAGAGCTGGGAGCTCAGGCCACAAATCCCCTGTGACCTCACTGAACTCCTTCACCTCTTTGTGCCTCTCTTATATCTGCAAAATGGGAGCAGTCAGCCCGAGTAGGGCTGTTGGGAAGATTAAACAAATGCCTTCCACATACCAAGGACTCAACAAATGGTAGCCAATATCATAATGAGGATTTTCCAGATCTCTGCCCTCTGTTCTGGAGCATATCCTGGCCAGGGGGTTTCAGGGTACCGTGAGCCCTGAGGGCATCAGCTGGGCTGGGCTCAGCAGATCCACGGAGCTGGTTCCAGGGATGGGTTGTGGTCAGGACGGCAAGAAGGTAGGCAGAGACGGGCCCCTCAGGGGCAGCCCCTGGTTGCAAGGCCCGAGAGGCAGCTTCGAGGGTGGGCCTCGGAACGGGGCTTCAGCCGGGAGCCCAGAGTCCGGGGACTGGAGGCGCGGGGACAGGCTCAGCGGTGGGCGAGAGCCCGCCTGGCGCTCACCCCGCTTGGTCCCCAGCTGACGCTGGAGCAGCGCTGCCGAGAGCTGCGCGCGCGCGGCCGGCGCCTAGAGGAGACGCTGCCGCGGCGCATCGGCTCCGAGGAGCAGCGCGAGGTGCTCAGCCTGCTGTGCCGCGTGCACGAGCTCGAGGTGGAGAACACGGAGATGCAGTCGCACGCGCTGCTCCGCGACGGCGCGCTCCGTCACCGCCGCGAGGCCCTGCGCCGCCTGGAGCAGCACCGCAGCCTCTGCGACGAGATCATCCAGGGCCAGCGGCAGATCATCGACGGTAGGGCCCGCGCCCCGCGCGTCCGAGCCGCCCACGGGCCCCATCGACCCGCGGAGGGCCCGAGGGCACGCGCTGAGCCCTGCCCCTCCCCCGGCAGACTACAGCTTGGCCGTCCCGCAGCGCCTGCAGGAGCTGTACGACGTGTACGTGCGAGCGCAGGACGAGGGCAGCCTGGAGCGGGCCGCCATCATGGACCGCGTGGCCTCTGGGGCCCTGCAGGTGGGCGCCTCGGGCCTGAGCACGCGCACACGCGCTAAGGGAGGGGCCGATGGCCAGGGCAGTGCGTGCAGGTCGTTGGCATGGCGGTGGGACCAGGCTGGCTGGTCCCCAGGGCGCTGACTCCTTCCTTCTTATCCCACCCAAAGGCTTGCCAAGCCTGAGTAAGCTTCCTTTCTCAGCGTATTCTTCTCTGGCACTTGTCCCCACCCAGGGTCTGAAGGTCAGGTTTGGCTATCTGAGATATGACAAATGGCCCCAGACGCCCTCCCAGGAGACCAGGCCACCAGGCAGTGCCACGGGGGATGCCTAGCCTACCACAGCTTGTCCCTGGGGACCGAGAACAAGCCCACTGCCCTCTGGGGCTCCCAGCCCCTATTACCGCCCCAGACACCCTGTGTGCCTTTGTCACCCTGTGCTGTTACCCGGCCCAGGACCAAGTCTTCTGACGGCCCCTTCCCCACCTCCCCAGGACAGCTCCTTGCCCAAAATTAGCAGAGCAGGAACCTTGCTGACCCCAGAGTCTGACCCAGAGAGCGTGAAGACGCTGAGCTCCGAAGCCCAGCTCCTGCAGGACAGCTTCCTGCCTCCGATCAGCACAGAGAGGTGAGGCCAGGGGCCACTTTCTGCCAGTCCTTCCTGCCTGAGCCACCACGGGCTGTGTCCCAGAGATGCCAGCCCAGGTTAGGGCTTCCTGGGGGGGATGGAGCAGGAACGAAAGGGGGGAGGTGACACAGGTCTGGAGCCAGGACTTTTGGGTCCTCTCTCCCTTTACACAACAGCTCCCCCCTAGGGTGGGGGTGGGACCGCAGTGGGACCAGCCTGGTCAACAGATGCCCATCCTCCTCTACCAACCTCAGTGAAGCCAACCACGTGTCCAAGGCCAGTTCCGGGGCCTGGCAGGTGAAGAGCTCCTCTGTGCCCACCCCACCCCCCATCCAGATTGGCAGCCTGGTGACGCAGGAGGTGAGCACTGAGCACCGCTGGCCCTATGGGCTCCTCTACTGCAGGTGGGAGCACCAGGGTGGACACCCAGTGGTTGGGATGGAGCCTTTCCAAAGCAGCCCCCTGGGGACATAGGGTCCCTGCTGTGTCCAGTGGCTTCTCTTCCCAACCAATTCGTCTCACAGGCCCCCACTCAGGACAGCCTGGGCAGCCTGAGCGGCCGGATCAACTCCTCCCCTGACAGCAGTGAGAACCTGTCAGAGATCCCTTTGTCCTGCAAAGGTGTGCCCCCTGCCCACCCTGTCAGCCTGAGCCTGGCATCGTCCAAACTGCTCAGATCACCCAGCCCAGAGCCCCTTCCTTCCCTCTGCACTTCTAAGTACACCCATGCGTCGGGTGCTGACCGTTCTAGAAAGAGAGGCACCAGTGCCCAGAGAGGATTAACGAGCTGCTCTGTCCACACAAAGCTGGGGGCACAATCAGAAACCGGAATGGGGAACACATGGCGCTTAGGATCACGCCCCACCTTCCCACTCAGAAATAATTGTAAGAGCAAATATAGACCGAACCCCTACGCCCTGGCCATAGGCTATGCCCGTTATCTCAGTTACTCCTCATAACCTGGGACTTCCCTGGCGGTCTAGTGGTTAAGACTCTGCGCTTCCACTGCAGGGGGCATGGGTTCGATCCCTGGTCGGGGAACTAAGGCTTGGCCAAAAAAAAAAAAAAAAAATCCTCACAAGCCAGTGGGGTTAGTTTTACCATCCCCAGTTTACAGATGAAAGTAAGGCTCAGAAACTTGCCCACGGTTTCTTAAACAGCAAGCAAGGGGGGATGCTTTGGCAGAGAAGGGGTGTTGGAGGTGCAGGAGGGGGAGGAATTTGTGGCCTTGATCCCCGGTTGGGTGCTCCTTTGTCCCGCCGCAGAGAGGAAGGAGATCCTGACGGACACCAAGTGCATCTCGGTGAAGGCTGCCCGGCGACGCTCTCGGGCCCTGGGCGCCGAGGGGCGCCACCTGCTGGCACCCAGCATGGAGCGCAGCAGCCTGTCCCTGCACTCGCTGAGCGAGGCTGAGGATGCGCGGCCACCCGGCCTGCTGGCCTGCAAGCGGCCACCCAGCCCCATGCTGCAGCACGCTGCCAGTGAGGACAACCTGTCCAGCAGCACGGGTGAGGCCCCATCCCGGGCCGTCGAGCATCGTGGCGATGGCCCCGGGCCCTGGCTGCGTGGCCAGAAGAAAAGCCTGGGCAAGAAACGGGAGGAGTTGCTGGAAGCAAAGAGGAGGAAGCGGAGGTCGCAGTCCTTTGAGGTCACAGGGCAAGGGGTGAGTCCAGGGACAAGGATTGGGGGGTCTGGGCCCCTGCCTTGCTGGTGGGGCTCTGAGGGCTGGATTGCTCCAGCGGCCCCAGGGTACCCCTAGCTGTGCACCACCCTCCATGCCGTATCCCCCCAAGCTGGCATAGCTGCCAGGGCAGACCCGTGTATCAGATCCGCATGCGGCTCCCACCTCACCTCACTGCTCTTCAACCAACACAGCTCTCCCGCCCCAAGACACACCTCCTGGGGCCCCATCCCGCGCAGAGCATCTCGGACCACAGGGTGCAAGTGTGCAGGCACCCAGCCTCTGGTACCCGGCATCTGGGAAAGGTCACCCTGCCTATGGCCAAGGTCAAACTCCCTCCAAGCCAGAACACAGGTCAGTACCAGCAAAGGAGGGAATGGGAGGGGAGCGCTTGGTCAGCCCAGGGGGGAAGCATGTTGAGCTCCCTGCCCTATGGCTGCCCCTTGCTGGAAACAGGGTTCTTGAAGAATATTTGTGGGGCTGGCACCTTGGGGTTGTGCCCCTAGGGAGTTCAAAGCCACTGGGTGATCAGAGGGGATGGAGAGGCATTCCTAAAGCACTGCTCGTGGCCCTTCCCCTGTTGCAGGCCCTGGGGACTCCTCACCCCTCGCTGTCCCCTCCAACCCAGCTGGTGTTTCCCAACGGGCTACCCGGGGGCCCCGCCTGCCCCATGGCACAAGCACCCATGGCAAAGATGGACGCTTCCAACATAACTGAGGGACCCTGCCTGGAACCGGCCCTCCTGCCCCCAAGACTGAATGGGGTGTAGCAGGAAATGGGAGATGGAGGCTGGGCAGACGGGGGTGCCCTGCGAGCAGGAGCTCTGGATCTCAGAAGGCGGGGGCTCCTGAGGCCCAGGAACGGTGAGGGTGCCTGCCCAACACTTCCGTGCTTGCGGTGCCACTGGGAAAGGGAGGTGAGCCCAGGAGGCACGGCCGGGATGGCAGGGCTCCCTGGCCTCCCAGCCCTGGACAGAAAACCCTGCTGCCAAAACCCCGTTCTGAGACCTGTGGCCCGACTTGGCCTCAGAAATGGGGGGGAGGGAACTGTTAATGGGACAGGGCTCCTGGGCCCACATCTGGGGCAGGAACATTCCCATGCTGTGCTTGGGGTCGGGGAGGGAATCTGGTTTTGTTACTTAGCAGTGGCTTCCGCCCTCACCAAGCCCCCTTTTTAACAATAAAATCCCGTTTGAGTCTTGATGGTTGTGTTGGAAACTAGACCTTGCCTGAAATGTGGGGTGGCCATGACTGATTAAGATTCAACCCAACTCCCCTCCCACCACCACCACCACCCTCTACTGCCCTCTGGCTGGTTGTACAGCACCAACCTACAAACACCTGGGGGAAAGCAGTTTTCCTCTAGACCCTGAGGTCTTTCCCCAGGAAGGGCAGAGCTATAAGGCCCATTCACATCCCCTCCCACCAGCCTTCCCCCCTCCCCAGACCCCCTCCCAGGAGAGGCCAGAGACTTGGGGTGGTCCACAAGCCAAATGAAGTGGTTACCCCCTGCAAGTCGGGACTCAGAAGTTGCTCAGCTAAGCCCCCCAGCTTCAGGGTGAGAAAGCTCCCACAGGGGTACCTAGTGCCTTGACCAGTTGGATGCTTTTACCTGCCCTGTTCCCTGTGGAGGTGCGGCCCTCAGGGAAAAGCTAAAGAAAGATGGGGAGCCCCTGACCTGTGCAGCCCCCCTTGGATGGTTTTTACCCGCGAACTGGGTGGGTTAAGCACCCCCTCGCCTCTCTGAGCACCGGTTTATTCTACCAAGAGCGTTACCTTCAGGTCAGTGTGAAATCAGCTCCTGAAACCAGGCATGTGGTCTACCACCCCTCAGGTGGATTCCACCCAGGGGGCCAGGGTGGGCACCTCCACTGGCCATGCCACTCCTGGTCCCTCTGGCCCATCTCTGCCGGGCCTGTATTTCCCGATCCAGAGGCCTCAGGGACGCCGAGCTTCCCGCCCTGGGCCCCGCTTGGCTACTTGGGGGTCCGGATGAGGGGGTGGTAGACGGGCTTCACGATGAGGTGCAGGTGCAGGGCGTTCTCCACCAGGTACTCGGAGTTGCGCCGCTGCAGGTCGGCGTGCGCCAGGAAGTCGCCGGCCTCCTCGCTGCTCTGGTGAAAGCTGTAGGCGTGGCGGACCAGCAGGCGGCCGTGCTGGCGCGTCCCCACCAGCACGGTCTTCTGGAAGCTCACGCCCGCCGCGTCGCCGCCGCTGCTGGCCGGCGTGACCACGAGCCGCGGCCGGCCGTCCTCGGGGCGCGCGAGGGGCAGCGCGGTGCCCGCGGCATCCGCGTAGACGGGCCGCAGGCTGACGGGCAGCCAGCGCGGCGAGAAGAGCACGTTCCACGTGACCCGGCGGCCCGAGTCGTGGCCGCTGGGGCCCAGCTGCGTCTGGAAGCTGGTGCTGCGATCGTCGCGGGCCGGGTTGTTGATGACCCACGGGGCGCCCCACGCGGGCGCGAGGTAGTTGCGGGGCAGGAAGGAGCTGCCGTTGACGTCGAAGAACTTGGCATAGTGCAGCGGCGAGGCGGCGTGGAACTGGTAGGCCTGCAGCAGGAGGTCGGCCACCGCCGGGCCGTGGCGCGCCAGGGCTGCCGAGCGCGCCTGCAGCTGGAACAGCTGCGCCGGCGGGATCATGGGGTAGCGGATGGAGCGCAGCGCCCGCTCGGCCACGGCGGGGGGCGGCCGCGCGCGGCCCAGCCACGCCTCCAGCGCGTGGAACAGCTCCAGCTCGTCCTGCAGCACCAGGTCCGAGCGCGGCAGCAGCTGCGCCAGCAGCTCGGGGCTCACGGCGCCCCACTCGGCGCTCCCCGCCACGGCCGACAGGTTCCAGGCCAGGAACTGCAGGCAGCTCTGACGCAGGGCCTCGTCCCCGGTGCTCACCGCGTAGTGGTACCAGCCCACCGCCGGGCCCGCGCCGCCCGCCAGGTGCGCGCGCATGTAGTCGGCCACGCCCCGCTGCAGGGAGGACACGCCGTACTTGGTGGCCAGCCTGTGCAGGGGGATGGCCTGCGCCAGCAGCACGATCAGTTCGCCGCAGTAGAGGTACCTGCCGGAAAGGCGCAGAGATGGGGCGCGGTCAGGGCGGGCGGGCCCACCCCGACCCCACCCAGAGCCGCTTTCTGGGTCCAGAGGGCCCCGGCCTTGGTCAGAGACCATCATGGGCAAGGGCGCCAACAGAAGGGCCCTCCCAGGCCCATCCGACCTCACGGCCTCTTCTTTCCGTTTCTCGTGGGGACATGGAAATAGCACGCATGTATTGAGCACCTACTAGGTGCCGAGCTCTGTGCTAGAACAAGACAGATGTAGCTCCTGCCATTGCGGGGTTTACTGTCTGGACTCACATGCCGCCAGCTGCTCGCTATGAGAGCGGGCAAGACATTTCGCTTCGCTGTTTGCCTCTGGGACTAAAAGGTGTTTCCCAGGCTCCCTTAGAATGAGCGCGGTCATGTGACTGAATTCTAGCCAATGAGGTTTCCGCAGAGACACAGAGTGGGATTGGGGGAATGCTGGTTAAATAGAACTGACTGGGGTGGCGGGGAGACCCTTTGGCCCTTCTGTGTTATCCCTCTTCCCGTTGCCCGGAAGTTGGAAACAATGACCCGAATTCTGCAGCCATCTTATCTAAGCCGTCAAATCAGGGTCACTTTCTCAGGCTAGAGTGTGAATGGTGCCCCACTAGCAGGAGGCAGGAGATGGGGCAGAGAGATGGCTAACGTTTTTAGCTCCCTAGCCCTCTGGTTCAAAACGGGGCCAGACACCAAAGCCACCCGGAGACATTAAAATAAGAAACGACTGCTTGGGGGACTTCTCTGGTGGTCCAGTGGCTAAGACTCTGCGCTCCCAACGCGGGGGGCGGGTTCGATCCCTGGTCAGGGAGCTGGATCCCGCATGCCGCAGCTAAAGATCCCACGTGCCACAACTAAGACCCGGCACAGCCAAATAAGTAAATAAATATTTTTTTAAGAAAGGAAAGAAACGACTGCTTGGCCCAACCCTAGACGGGAAGCCCAGGATCCAGGGTGGGGCCCGGGAATCTACAGTTTTTAAAAGCTCTCAGGGCCAGATTTGGAAACAGCTCTGAGGGTAACTGGTAAGTGACATCAAACCACACAGAGCCTCCAGGCAAGGGCAGGGGAGTCACGCTGCATTTTGCAGGAGTGCAGTGGAAGGAGGGAAGAAGGAGGCGGTTGCACGGTCATCCTAATGACATCCAGGGAATGGGCATGATGTCTGCTAGGATCCAGGGCTTCCATCACCCTGTGAGTGGAGAAGCCAGGGGCTTGGAAAGTCCTGGAGTCTTCCCCCTGATCCTTCCCCACCTGATGAACTTGTCAAAGACAGCAGCACCGTCCCGGGGCTCCTGCAGCACCACCTCGCTCTGGTTACTCAACAGCTCCCGGAACAGCTCACTGTGCAGTCCCAGCAGCAGGCGGTGGGCGTGGAAGACTCGGACCTCGTCGGTGCCCGCAGCCTGGACCCGCAGCACCACGTCGCTGGCATTGCCCTGCCGCAGCAGCTCCTGCAGGCGTTGGAGCAGCGTCTGGGAGTGGTTGATGGAGGTGCCCGTTGACTCTCCGCCGACATCGGTTTTCTGGGCTGCAGCAGGAAGGAACACGGCACAGCCTGAGAAGGCACCCAGGCCCCGGGCAGCATGCTGGGGTTGCAGAGGGACCAGCTGGAGATGCATGTGGTTGGATGTGGGCAGAGAGTGGATGAGCCTGGGGAGGCTGTGTGCTCACCTGTTTGTGCCCATGAAGTGCGTGGATGCACGTGTGTGCACACAAGCACATCCTGGGTGGGGAAGCTTGTAAACCTGACCCTGAGCAGACCCTGAGAGGATGCTCTTGGAAGGTGGGCAGATTCCTGGCGGGGAGAGCTCGTGACCCAGCGTGGGACAAAGTGTCCAGAGCTGGTCTCCATGATGCCAGACCCCTAGGCGGGGGTGGAGGAACCTCTTGGTTCCCCCCCGTCTCACCTCCTGAAGAACTGTGCACCTCACCCCTCGGAAGAGTTGTCCAAAGGAGTGCAGTCACTAACAAACTGAGCACTTACTACAAGCCAGACACGCTCCTGGGAGCTCAGAATAGCGCAGTGAACAAAACAAGCCAGCTTCTTACACTCATCAAAGCACAAGCTCCTTAGACAGGCAATCCATACACAGGTAAGCACTCTAGCTTTAGATTGTGGTAAATAAGGGAGGTGATAGCAGTGGGGTGGCAGCTCCTTTAGGTGCAGGAATCAGAGACAGGCTCCCTGAGGAAGCGTTGAGAAGGAGCCTGCCAGAGGCCCTGGAAGAGGATGGGCTTGGCAACCTGGGGGGTGGGGGGGGCCGAGGATCCGCCCCAGCGCTGAGTGGGAGGGGAGGGCCTGGCTGTGAGAGGAGGCTGCAGCCTGGAGGGGAAGCTGCTTCCAGGCCCAGCAGCCCTCCTGGGTCCCGTCTCCACTGGCCTGCGGGAGACCAGAGAAAGCACAGAGGGCCAGCTTGTCCTGGACAGGACTCTCGGGGTACCTGTGCCTTGAGGCTGGTGTTCCCGCCCTGCAGGCTGGGCGCGCTGGGCCCTTCTCGCAAGTTTCCAGGGATACCGTGAGGGTCAGCTGGGGACATGCCCTCGGTGACAGAAAACTCAATGACAGAAAACACTGCCAGCAGCTTCTCCAAGCGGAGCCCAGTGTGAGGAGCTGACAGCAGCAGATGGGCACACCTACCCCCCAGCGCGCGCACGCACACACACACACACACGTACTCACACTCACACACGCACACACACACACACTTGTCCCGAGGCCCATGTGCGCTCTTGGAGAGGGCACTCACAGGAGAGCAGAGCATCTTTGTGTAAAGCAAGAGGGAGAGAGAGGGAGGAAGAAAGGGTGAGAGAGGAGCCCGAGGTTATCTCCCAGCCCCGCCTCTCCAAGCTGTCACATTGAAGGCCCTGAATGCTGATGGCACCCCACTCGCCTCTAGCTGGGCCCAGCTGCCTGGGACAATGGACAGTGGAAGGGTCTTCTTGTCGTTGAGACTCCTGCCTGCCCGCCTGCCCAGCCCTCGTCCCCTCGGAGGCAGGCTGCCCTCCTCCACGGAGCTGTGTGATCAAATCCACTCTGCGCCCGTCCTGGCTGGCTGGACACCGCCCCCTCCTGGCCGTGTGTGGCTAAAGCCGGAAGGTCCTGCCCCTTCTCCCTGCCCCCTGCCCACTCACCTGCACGAGTGACCAGGCCCACTAGGGTCAGGATGGCCCAGAAGCTGGCCCAGGACCCAGGTTTGGTGTAGCCCAGCCTAAGCATCTTTGTGCCCTGCCCCCAAGCCCACTGGAGGGAGAGCGAAGCCCAGACCTCTCCACTCACATTCCTCCTCCTTATATAGGGTCCCGCCCAAGGGGCTGGTGCCCTCCCTTCCCCGGCTGGCTTCCCGCCCACCACCCAGCCTCTGCCGTGGATTGGTGGAAACGGGCCCCAGCTGTTGCCCGGGCAACGAGTTAAGCCAGAGAGCAGCAGCCCCAGGGGCTATTGTACTGCCGGTGGGCCCCTGAGGGGGACGGATCCGGCACCCTCCCCCATAGCTCCTACCACCTGGCACAGCGGGTCGTTCCTCTTCTGGGAAGTTTAAGGCTCTCCAAAGGGCAGGCAGGGGGCTCCAGAACCAGCGGCCGCCACCAGCACAGAGGGTCGCCGGCCCCCTCCCCGGATCCCAGGCTCAGCCTCCACCCTGGCACAGAGCACGAGCTTGCCAGCGTCACGGCTGGGGAGCCGTGGTGAGCCGGCTGCAAAGGAAGGGCCTGGAAGAGAAACACGGCGGCAGCTCAGGCTCCCACCCCTCCCCCTCTCCCATTTTGGGGTGGGCTGGCTCTCCAGAAAGGAGGGCAAGGGTCTCAAATAGGGGCCCACGGGGTAACTGGTAGCATTTTCGTGTCTTCTTTGAAGAATGTTCCTGGGAGGGTGATGAGTCTTTAGGGAGGTGGGGGCTGTGACCATCACACCCCTCACCCAGGGTCAAGGTGAGCTAATATGGCAGGGCTGGGCATAGAGGAGCTGCACCCGAGCCTGTGCACCCCTGCACGGAAGACCCCTGCCCAGAACAGAGCTGGCCGCCTCGCTGGAGGCTGGTCCTCGGCAGGCATCCCACACCCCGCCCAAGCAGCCCAAATCCAGGCATGGGGACTAGAGATGCCTGGTCACTTCCTTCCTTTAATTCACCTTCCCAAGAGGTCTCAGGTCTCTTGGTTCACCTTGTTGGAAGGCTTCTTTCACCAGCTTCTGTCCAACCTCCTAGTGTAATTTTTCCATCTCAGAGTTCCAAGGAGACACACAGCAGACCCAGTACCCCACCCTGACAGTTGGAGAAACAGGCAGAGAGCTGGGTGGCCGTTTCAGCTGGGTTAGTACAGAGGAGAGCTCTTCTAAGGACAAAGGAACAGAGAGAGGAGGGTGGCGTCTAGAGCCCAAGGGGTGTGTGTTATGGGTGGGCAGGTGCTGGGGAGGCCTCACCTTTTCCAGAAGCAAGTAGGGCCTGGCCCCGATCTCCATGGGAGGGAGTCCTTCCAAGTTGATGAATTGAAATGGTGGAGGGGGGGTGTGCTCCTGAGAGATCCAGCTCAGAGTTTCTCGTGAGGCTGGGTCTTTAACTGGGGATGGGTGGGAGCCCACCCTCCTTTGCTCTCTGGATGCCAGGGACCAGCTCCACGCATTGATTTCTGCCCCGGGCTGGCACAGAGAGACCCAACAGCTCCACCCCCCTCTCTGGAGCCACAGAGAGAGCGGGAAGTGGGTCTGGCACCTGCCTCGTCCGGGTTGGCAAACATGTAGCTGTCCAGCCCAGCGGAAACCCCTCCCGGCTGTCCTGACCTTCACGCCTGGTTCCCCTCGTCCAGATCCACCATCCCTTGCCCACTGGCTGCCCGCCTGCCCTTCCCGTGGGCTGCACCACCTCCCTGGCCCAGCTCAGAAAAACAGAGCCTCAGTGTGACGGAGGTCGTGGCCTCTGAGGGCATCCCGGCTTCCATGTGCAATGTTTTCCGACAGGAATGTTGATGATAAAAAGATGAGGCTAAGAGAACCCACTACTCAGAAAATGGTCTTAACTTCGCGCTGCATCAGCCCCTAGAGGTGTGGCTGCCTGCACTGGAATCTCCCCCACTCCACCTAGGAGCCAGGGCACATGTGTCTTCTCAGCATCTCGGCGATTGTCATGTACACCCCCAAGCTAAGGTCTACCTGCTAGAATTACATGGATGGCATTTCAAGTGTGCAGGGATCGGGGAGGTCCCAGGTTACCAAGAAGACTCAGGAGGGTCACCTCTGACTCCCCATCTCTGAGAGGCTCCATCTCTTACTAGCTCTAACTTCTGTTATCCCTGAAACCCCTCTACTGATTTAGAAACTGGCTCTCCAGGAATACGCACTCTCCATTCTCATTTTCTTAGTCTGAGGTTTTCTGGATTGTGTGTGTGTGTGTGTGTGTGTGCGCGCGTGCTATGTATGTGTGCACACGTGTGTGTGTGTGTGGTGTGTAGGTGTGCATGCATGTGTTTTGTTTGGGCCACACCGCACAGCATGCATGATCTTATTTCCCTGACCAGGGATCGAACCCGTGCCCCCTACAGTGGAAGCGCGGCGTCCTAACCACTGGACTGCCAGGGAATTCCCTGCATGCGTGTGTGTGTGTGGTGTGCGTGAGAGTCTTGGAGCTGGAGAGAAGAAGGAGGGCGTTTGCCCTGCCCAATCTTGGAGATGGAAGATCTGAGACAATCTGTTTCATTTTGCCCTGTCGACCTGGAAGCTCCATAATTCCTTGAGAGCAACTCTGAGCTAGAACAGAGAGCAGTGTCGCTTCCCACCCGAGGCAAGGGTATCTATAACTCAAGGGACTTGTCTGAGGTTTCACGGCTCAGAATGGGCAGAGCCAGGATTCAAGTGCTGCGTTACTGCTTGACTTTTCTTTCCACAGCCCCATACTGTCTTTGGGAAGCTACTGTGTTGGCGAAAAAGTTCATTCGGCCCTTTGGGTAACAGCTTATGGAAAAACCTGAACGAATGTTCAGTAGCCAATGTTTCAGTAGCCGTAGATGATCCCCGTGGGGCAAGGAATCTCTAGTGCTGGAGAAGCAAGCTTGGGGCAGATGTAGAGTTTCTGGATCTGTGGCGTGAGTGATCAGACACAGGACGGCGGAGGGGTGGGCTCCCAGCCCCAGCCGCACCCCAGCTGCAGCCTCCCATGCACCTGTGACGTCTCCCTTCCTGAGCTAGGGAGCCCCCAAACGCTTAGATTGGGGAAGAGGGAATCCTGAGCTTAGGTTCCAGGCCACGTGGATTCAGGGGGGCACAGCGATGCTACACAGGAAGGAATTGCGCCCTGAAGTAACTGACATGATATTGAAAGCTTCCCCTGAAGCCGGGCTGTCCCGCGGCGGCACACCTGCCTTCCTGCCTCCATCCTGCTGTCCCCCGACTGGAGGGCCTTCCGCATCTGAGTTTTGTCCGCCTGGCCCACTTCCTCTCCCCGTAAAGCCCGAGCTCACAGTGGCCTCGTGCTGCCTCAGCCCCTGCTCTTCCGGAGAGCAGATGGTGGGAGCGAGTGACCAGCGAACAGCTCTGGGGGAGGGACAAACCCACGTTCAATTTCCAGCCTCCACTTGCTAGCTCTGTGGGTTTAGCGTAGTTGCCGGCCTTCTCTGAGCCTCGGTCCCCTCTTGTGTGAAACGGAGGTAACCTGGGTTAGCTTGAGGGGCTGCCGGGAGGGTGACACGTGTAGGACAGGGTAGGTCCTCAGGAAATGTCAGCAGAGACCCTCACACCCGGCTGTAAACGGCCCCCTGTTCATCCACAGCGTCCTGGTGCAGGGAGGTGGTGGCCTGAGGAATTATCTGTGCTACTTGCACCCTCTGGGTCTGGAGTCCTGGACACTCTGCCTGGGGACCTGAGTGGGTAGTGCCTACTCTGGTCCCACTGTGCCACCCAGGGGACCTGGCCAAAGCCAGAGGACTCTCGGAGGACTTCAGGGTCAGGCCCCAGCCAGCAGGGGTCAGCAAGGCCTCTGTGAGTTCCAGGGTTGCGCGTGGAGGTGAGGCTGGGGGTGGGCATCCAGGTAGCTCCAGCCCCGGAATTGGGATCTAACGTAGGGAAACCAGCTCTGGGACGTTCCCAGAGGGTGAGCGTGGGAAGCGAGTGCTGGCTGGGCCTCAGCTCTCCTCGAGCCCCTCCACACGTCGTCCCGGGTGCCCTCTGTGGGCTGCACCGGTCGCTCTTCCCCGCATGGGGCTGGGGAGCCGGCTGGGCGCAGGTTCCAGCCTCTCCAGGGCGCAAGCCACGCCGGATGGTGTTGATCGGCCGGTGACTAATTTTCCTTAAAGGAAAGTCCATTTCACCAGGGCCAGGAAAACAACGGCTTGCAAGGAGCCGCTGGGTCTGGGTTTCCCAGCGCTGCTGGCAGCCTGGTCAGGCTTCCGCTGGCCTGGCCGTCACGGCCAGCACTGGGCATAGCTTCCTGCCATCCTTCCAGGCCAACAGCCCGCCTGGGTAGAGTCTCCTTCTCGTCCCACCACCCACAGCCACCGCGGCACTGACTCCTTCAAACCTGGCCCGTGAGGCTTCGCTCCAGATCTGGGTCCTGCCCAGGGCAGCCTCAATTCTCCCTCCCCAGCACTGGTTCCCTCCCCACAGCCCCGTCTGAGTCAGCTCCTGGAATCTGTCTGCCTTTCCCCAAACGCCTCACGCCCAGGGTTTGACTGCCAGACCGAGGCCAGGCCCGTTCCCAGAGTGCCCTGGAGCACGAGGCAGCCCAACCAGAGCCCTGATGCTCCCCCCCCCCCCCACCCCGCCCCAAGGTCTGCCTCCCAGCCTCGCCCCTTCCCTGCCTGTGCACCCTCCCCATCCTGGTTTGCTCCGGGCAGCGACTACTTTACAGACCTTCCCCTCAGCCTCTGCCCCGCCCTCCCCTTCCCCCTCCTCCCTCCCCCCTCCACCCCACCTCCCTGCACCGACCGTCAGGCTCAGCACGGCTGGAATAATCCTGGGGCAAACAACCGCTCGGAGAGCTGGCATGATGAGAGCGAGCTGCTGGGGCCACCAGAAAAAGCCACGGGGTGACCCAGGACTCAGGACCCAGGAGCATGAGGCTTGCAGGACAAGAGACAGGTAAAGTGTCTAGGGCCAGGGTGGGCAGGGAGAGTAAGGTGGCAGGGCCAGTGAGGAATCTAGAGTCCGGGAGAGGGGAGCTTGAAGCGGATATGGAAACATCAAAAGCTGGAAGGTGGAACCTAAACTCCTAAAGTGTGGACTAAGAGAGGCAGGGACCAGAGCATGAGGTTGGTCCTTATCCCAGACTGGCCACCTGCCAGCTGCGTGTGACGGCAGGCAGGTCACCTTACCCCCTCTGGACTCAGTTTCCCAGTCTGAAAACCGGGGCCATTCCAGCTCCAATAGCACTAGGAGAGGGTGCTCTCGAGCGTAGAAAGGAGCGGAACTTAGTAACGTCTCTCCTTAAAGAGGGGGGTGGCTGTTTGGCAGAGCCGTGAGTTACTGTGGGTCAGGATCACCCGGGATGCTTTAAAAACACAGCTGCCCAAGCGTCGGTGCAGACCCTCTGGCTCAGGCCGCCTGGAGCAAGGCCCAGGGCCCCGGTATTTCACAATCGCCCCACCCCCAAACCCCCTCCTGACCGTGACTAGCAGCCCGTTTAGGGCCCTGCTTTGCAGGCTGAAGATCCACCAGGAGCAAATATGATCGAGAAATAATCTCCGTGTCAGCAAGAAACGCCAACAAGTGCTTCTTCCCGCCAGCGGGGGAGCCGGGCCACTGCGGGGGTGGGCTGGGGTGGAGTGTGCTTGGCAGGAAGCATTACCGTTTGGCTGGGCCTGACCACAGGGTCTGCACAGAGTGGGGGTGAGTAAAGCCCTCAGGGTCAGGGGCAGGGTAGGGCTGCTGCCAGGCCAGGCTGGAAAGGAACCAAATGCTCTAACCCACCCTCTGCGCTTCCTAGCTGGCCAGCTACAGGTGACGCCAATGCTCACACCCAATGGCAGTGGGCTGAGCCAGGAGTTTGAAGGCCATTGGCCGGAGATCCCAGAGAGGTCCCCGTGTGTGGCCGGGGTCATCCCTGTCATCTACTACAGCGTCCTGCTGGGCCTGGGGCTGCCTGGTGAGTGGGGAGCTGGGTCTGGGGTCCTGGGGTTTCCCAGAAGTTGGAGTCCTCCTTCAATGGGTGCCAATCCTCTGGGCTGACCCCAGGATCATAGACCCCAGGGCTCTCCTTGCCTTTGTGGGGTGATCTGGGTCACTGGAAAGCCAAGCATAATGGGGAGTAAAAGTGAGGGGCCAGGAGTTGGGGTGCTCTATAGCTAAACCCAACTTTTCACCATAGCAGACAGCCCCCTTCTACCCCCAGGAATGGGCACCTCCTAGGATGACTAAGTTTGTGCCTGACCGCCCCCAGCTCCATCAAAAGCTTCCTGTACCATCCACTGCGTTCAGAGAGCAGAGCTGGGGGTCGGGTGGGGTGTGGATGCAGGAAAGGACGGGTGGAATTAGGGAACTGCCCATCCCTGTGCCCGTTGCCAGGGAAGCTAGTGTATAAGGCAGTGGCCTACAGCGCATGACTGGACAAGGCAGGGCTGATCTGATTAACCTTCCAGACAAAGTGAGGTTTAAGGGTCTGGAAAGAGGAAAAGAGAAGCCAGAACCAGCAGGTGGGGAGGGACGATGAGAAAGCAAATCCGAGGAGCCCTTCTAACGCCTCTGACCTCTCCCCTCCCTGACCTCGGTTGCCATCAGTCAACCTCCTGACCACAGTGGCCCTGGCCCGCCTCGCCGCCAGGACCAGGAAGCCCTCCTACTACTACCTTCTGGCGCTCACGGCCTCGGATGTCATCACCCAGGTAGTCATCGTGTTCGTGGGCTTCCTCCTACAGGGAGCAGTGCTGGCCCGAAAGGTGCCCCAGGCTGTGGTGCGCGCGGCTAACATCCTGGAGTTTGCTGCCAACCACGCCTCAATCTGGATCGCCGTCCTGCTCACGGTCGACCGGTACAGCGCCCTGTGCCACCCCCTGCACCATCGGGCCACTTCATCCCCAGGCCGGACCCGGCGGGCCATCGCTGCTGTCCTTGGTGCTGCCCTGCTGACTGGCATCCCCTTCTACTGGTGGATGGACGTGTGGAGGGACGAGGACCCCCCCAGCACACTGGACAAGGTCCTCAAGTGGGCTCACTGCCTCATCGTCTATTTCATCCCTTGTGGCGTTTTCCTGGTCGCCAACTCGGCCATTGTCTGCCAGCTACAGAGAAGGGGCCAGAGTGGGCCTCGGCCCCGGGTGGGCAAGAGCACCGCCATCCTCCTGGGTGTCACCACGCTCTTTGCCCTCCTTTGGGCACCCCGCATCTTTGTCATGCTCTACCACCTGTACGTGGCCCCCGTCTACCGGGACTGGAGGGTCCACCTGGCCTTGGATGTGGCCAACATGGCGGCCATGCTCAACACAGCAGTCAACTTTGGGCTCTACTCCTTTGTGAGCAAGACCTTCCGGGCCACTGTCCAGGAGGTCATCCATGACACCCACCTGCCCTGCACCCTGGGGTCACAGCCAGCGGGCATGGTGGCGGAACCTGTGCTGAAGCCTGCAGGACTCCCCAAAGGGGCAGAACTGTAGAGGAGGAGCCCATGCAGGGAGCTTGGGGTGGCTCACAGCCAGATTACTGGGGTCTTTGTGGTTGCTTCCACAAAACTTTATCAATACCCTACTTTGCAATCTGGGGATGAAAGGAGAGGCTCCTTCCTTCAGGGGTGGCTTCCCAGGAAGCTAAATTAATGTTGGTTGAATGAATGAATGAATGAGTGACTGAATAGATGGATAGATGGATGGATGGATGGATGAATATGAGTTGTTTCCAGGCCACCCCTTCCTGGAGCCCACCTCTCATTCCCTGAGTTGATTACTTCTCCGGCTTCTAGTGGCAATGCCAGGGAGAAAGGGAGATGTCCGCCGGATTCCAGGCCTTTCCTGGGCTGCGGGAACCAAATGCAGGGGGCTGAACAATGGGAGACGGGCTGCCTGAGAAAGGGAGTGGTCTGTTTTTCTTTTTTTTGAAAGGGAGTGGTCTGAAGCAGATTCAATGCCCCAGCCCTGGGGCGACATAACCTCTGGGGTCTCTAGCATCCTGGACTGATTAAATCCCTGCCCTGGAGCCAGAACAGGTTCAGGGCCCCAGAACAGCCCTGGGGCTGCACTTTCCATGGTTGCTGAGGACCAGGACTAAGAAAGAAAATGTCCTCTTAGCTCAAGGGCCAGGAGAGCGGAAGGGGGCTCCCGGCCACACCCCTAAGCTCACTCCTCTTGGAGAAGAAGCCTCTTTCTCCACCAAGGGGAGGAAGGGAGATGGCTCAGCCGATCTGAGACTCTGAGGGGCTGTGCTCGGCCCCTCCCAGCCTCCCTCCTTTCAGCCATTACAGCCGGGAGAGGCAGCTGGGAGAGATTAGCAGACAAACCTCCCACCGGCTCCAGGCACTGGGTAAACACATTAGCAGTCTGCTTTCTGCTTTTAGACCAGACTGAGCTGACCTTTCCCCTGAATGTGAGGTCCAGGCGGGCCCCCACAGGCACCCAACCCCTTAATGGGATCACAGAAGGGAAAGAGCCAGTTCTGTGCTGGGCAAACGGTCGGTGCAAAATAAATGCACTTGGCTTTCCCCCTTTCCTCTCTACTTCTCCCCACAGCAGAAATGTCCAGGAAGGGACTTTCAGCCACACCCAGAAGGAGGAAAAGGCAGGTCCCCAATCCTTTATCCACAATTCTAAACTCCAAAAACTCTGAAAACCAAGACAGTTTTCCTGAGTTTGCCACAAACACACCAGAATAGATACAAGACCACATATGTCTTGGTGCTGTCCCACTGCATAGGTTCCGCTGCAGACCCTCAGCGGGTGTGATTTTGCGACAACGCCCTACACCCTGCCAGAATAGAGATCTGTTACTTTATCTAAACCACACATTACCCTCCTCTATTCTGAAAAATTCTGAATCCTGAGACACCTCTGGTCCCAAGAGTTCAGAGAGAGGATTGAGGACCTGTAAGTCCCATCACTTTTGCCACAGCAAGGTCTCAGCTGGCCCTGAGTGGGTCTGGGGCATGGCAGATTCCCCCATGGTTACCGAACCAAACTTGGGTCCGCTTGCCTGCTCACAGTAAAGCCAATCTACTGGCACCCGGTTGTGGTGAAGGAAAGGGCAACATTGATCGCAGGGCGCCAAACAAGGAGTCCAGGCAGCTAATGCTCAGAAGGCTGCAACTCCCCGATGGCTTTTAGGGAATGGTTTTTAGACAGGGTGAGGGAGAGGGATGCAGGGTGAGTGATCAGCTTGTGGACACTCTTCTGATTGGTGGGTAGTGAGGTAATCAGAAGTCAACATCGTCAACCTTCTGTTTCCAACTGGTCTGGAGTCTCCATGCTTGTGGGCAGCATACAGCTAATTTCTTCCACCTGGTAGGGGTTTCGGTATCTGCAAAACAGCTCAGAGGACTTGGCACAGAGTACTATCTACAGCCCTTGAGGAGGAACTAAAGGTCCTTGACTTTGCTTAACAATTAAACTATTATTATTTTGTCTTGTTTGACTGTTTTCTTTTTTCCAATAAATGTATTTCCTTGTAATTTAACATACCAGATAAGGAGTTCGGGCCTTTTAAGCCCTAGCTGCCTGGACTCCTTGCTTGGTGCCCTGCAATAAACGTTGCACTTTCCTTCACCACAACCAGTGTCAGTAGATTGGCTTTACTGTGAGCAGGCAAGTGGAATCAAGTTTGGTTCGGTAGCACTATGTGCACGCAGACGTGTCCGTGGGTAGAGCTGATGCACCAGAGCTTCATTCCTTGCTTAAGGAGGAGGGGGTGCAAGTCCAGGTACCCCAAGAAGGGGCACAAGAAGGTGAGAGGAGGCCTTCCCCAGCCCAGCCCCAGGGGCCAAGTCCACCCTACAGAGGATAGGTGCTTTTGATGCAGAATCAAATGGAATGTCTTGAGGGAGAGACCCCCCTCCCCCTCTATATGAAACCTGTGGGGCCCTGCAGGAGAGCTGCCCAGTACCAGGGGGTACCCTTGGCATGGAAGGCAACTGTGGTGGAGCAAGACTGGAAGCCTGGGACTTTCCTGCTGGTCCAGTGGTTGGGACTTCGTGCTGCCACTGCGGGGGGCCTGGGTTCAATCCCTGGTCAGGGAACTAGGATCCCGTGTGCTATGTAGCACAGCCAAGAAAAAAAAAAATGAAGATGGGAAGCCTCTTTCAACTGGCTGGTGGGCTGTCTTCAAGGAGACAGAAAGATTCACTCACCTGTCCCCAAACACCAGGGAAACCAGGTAGTTCCAGAAACAGGTGAGGAGGCTCTATTGAGGCAGGTAGCATTTTGCACTGGTGGGGGATTCAAGCCATGGGAATGTGGGTGTCCCTATTAATGTGACCTCACTTGTACCCACAGGCTGGAGCGACATCAGTGTTTTCAAATAACCCAGGATCCTGAGTATTGCGACCATTTTACAGACAGAGGAAACGGAGGCACAGAGAGGTTCAGTGATATGCACGTGGCCCTAAGCTGGTCAAGAACACCACTGAGACTTAAATTCACGTCTACGGGTCCCTGTTTCCTTCTCAGTCCACCCGTCACCTTGCAGGTGGTCTCAGGTGCAGGAGATTAGAGGAAGGGCAGCTTCAGGGCTGCTTGCGTCACTTGTAACTTTTTGGTTCTGGACTTAACAGATTCAGGAACCAGTCTCATATTTCTCTAATAAGATGCATTAGGTAGCAGTTCCTTTTTAATATTTTCGTAACTTTTTTTTTTTTTTCTTTTGTGGTACGCGGGCCTCTCACTGTTGTGGCCTCTCCCGTTGCGGGGCACAGGCTCCGGATGCACAGGCTCAGCGGCCATGGCTCACGGGCCCAGCCGCTCCGCGGCACGTGGGATCTTCCCGGACCGGGGCTCGAACCCGCGTCCCCTGCATCGGCAGGCGGACTCTCAACCACTGCGCCACCAGGGAAGCCCTATTTTCGTAACTTTTAATAAAAGGACGAGATCATCACTGTGACAAGCATGTCACTGAAAAGGGAAAGAAAAGTATTCTTAAAACTGCTCTTGATGACTAATAAGAACCTGCAGTATAAAAAACAAACAAACAAACAAAACAACTAATACTAAACTTTCTTTGGGTTATTTGTATAGAAATATGTTAATATAAATGTTTCAGACATGACATGAAATTTCTAAAAATCTTAAAAAAAAACCAAAACGGCTCATGTTTCCTTTATGCATTTCTATTGTCAAACTCTCAATGGCTTCTGGAGAACAAGACAGCAGGGGTGTGGGTTACCCTTCTCGCCTCCATCCCATCTGCTGAAATAGCTTGGCTAACGGAAATCCTTTTTGGAATTCTAAGTTTTTTCCTTACAGGTCCCCCCCCCAACCCCCGCCCCACACACAATTTGTCAGTTGATCTTATGTTCTATTTTTAACCCTTTGTTAATATTTAAAGACAATGATTTTTCTAGTGTCTTTCACATCTTTCCAAGTCTATATATGATTTTTGCTGTCTTCTGGTCTCTACATCCATGTGTATTTGTTTTCTAGGGCTGCCATAACAACAACAACAAAAAAGCCATAGACCGAGTGGCTTAAACAACAGAAATTCATTTTCTTAAGGTTCTGGACGCTGGAAGTCCAAGAGCAAGGTGTTGGCAGGTTTGGTGTCTTCTGAAACTTTTTCCCTTGGCTGACAGGTAGCTGTCTCCTATCTATGTCTTAAAAAGCTCTTGCCTCTTTGCAGGCACATGCCTGGTGTCTCTCCTTCTTTTGAGGACACCAGTCATATTGGATGAGTGGTCACCCTAATAGCCTCATTTTAACTTAATCATCTCTTGAAATTCACATTCTGTGGTACAGGGGGGTTAGGGCTTCAATCTGTGAATTTAGGGAGACACAATCCGGCCCATACACTAAGGTTATTTTTCTTCTCTTTTCTTTCTTTCTTTTTTTTTTTTTTGGTCCGTGTCACACAGCTTGCAGGATCTCAGTTCCCAGACCAGGGATTGAACCTGGGCCTCCACAGTGAAGGCGCTGAATCCTACCTGCTAGGCCACCAGGGAAGTCCCCACTGTGGTTAATTTAAAGAAAAATGTTAGTTTGGTGCATATCCAGCTCTTGATGAAAGGAATGTTTCTCTTAGCTTTATAGGAAATGTCCCTCCACTTTTCTTTCTGGTTGGCGTAGAAGGATTCAGCCTCAGTCTTGTATCTTTCAACACGACCTCTCCTTTCTCCCTGGATTCTTGGAAGATCTTGATTAAACCGTAATGAAGATGTATCTGGGGACAAGTGTCTTCCTTCAAGAAGTTTGCCCGGAGTCTGCTACAGAGCTTTTAAATTCCACACTGAGAGTATCTTTTCGTTCAGAAGAATTTTCTTCACTTTCTTAATCGTGACTGGGTTGCTGGCCCCCTTTTCCCTCTACCGGTCTTATTTGTCCTCAGGCAGGAGAATAAATGCCTTGTTTGCCACATTTCCTGTGTTCCCTTTAGTCATCTAGCCTCCAATAGCGTTTTTTCCATTCTGCGTCTGGCTTCAAGTTTGCACGACCTGCGGGCATCGCCAAAGATTCCCTGTTATCTGCGCTTACTTCCTCTGCTTCCCCACACGATACCGGTGCTCCCAGGGGCTTCTGAGGTGCAATCTCACTCCCCCAGCGCCACCCCCACCCCACCCCATTTACATTCCCGTCCAGCCCGCTTCGGGCTAGTTGGGTAAAGCGCGTCACAGCTGTCCACGTTCTCCTGGGATGGGGAAGGGTGGGAGGGGACAAACCGCCAGGCTTCTGGAGGATCTGCTGTTTTCAGCAACCTGGCCCAGGGGAGGGCCCTCCCCCAGAGAACAAAACCCTACTTTTCCACCGAATTAAACGCTGAGCGCCTTGGTCGGCCAGGTTATAGATGTGCCGGCAGGGACAATGGGACAGTCTTTGACATGGGGGTGTCTTGAGGATCTTGGCTCCCCCAGCCCCAAAGCCCTGGCTCCTTTGTCAGTGGGGAAGCTTGGGCTCCTCAGAGGGCCTTACGGCCCGACTTCCCCCTTTGGCCTGTCGCTATGGGCTCAGACAGCAGAGGGCGCTGCAGGACTGGAGGGATGGACAGACTGGCCTGGGAGCCGGGGGGCGGGGCTTTAAGCCAGATTTCTAGGCAGATCCGAGTTATTGCAAAGAAACTGTGTCAGCCCCGCGAGCCACAGCCAGCGGGGAGCAGTTGGGTGGGACGACTCCGCTGTTCCCCTGGTCAGACCCCTCCACCCTGAAGCCACGAAGCCACGTGCTTCCTCCAGCTGGGGTTGGGGGTGGGGGCGGGCGGCAGGTCACTGCAGTTTTCTCAGATCCTTCTGGTGGTTGGAAAGGCTTCCTGCGCGAGGCACTCTATGAAGGGCCCTTTCATCACCCTCGCCCCTCCCCTCTCCAGGGGCAGGGTCCGGCCAGCCCCTCCCCTTGGTCTCAGGTTCAGCTGCCCGCCTTCCCCTTTGTGCGGAGCCCAGCCCTCCTGGGTTCAGAGCCCCAGGGCTCCAGGCAGTCCTCTGGGGTCCCAAGTTCCACCAGCGGTCCCTGTCCACGGCAACCACTTGGGCATCCTGCCCCCTGAGGGAGTTTGAGTCTTGCCACCAGCGGCACACGACAAGGATGGAGGGAAAGGGGCTGGGAAGGTGAGGAGGGAGGGAGCCTGCCAAAGCCCACAGTGAGTCAGGAGCAGAGCTGGGACCCAGGGAGGAGGGAACCAGGGTGGGGCTCCAACGACGCTCCCTGCCCTCTAGCCAGGAGGACCTGGGGAGGCTCTGGGAGCATCTTTGGGGGCAGGAAGCCAGGCCTGGGCTGAGGGGCGCCACGCTGAGAGGAAGGACGAGGGGAAGATGGGGGGCGAATCCAGAGCAACCTCCCCTCTGAGGCCAACTCCCAGGCCTTCACACCTCTACTCCAGGGGCCTGGGAAAGGGACCCACCCTGGGGAGAAGGGGCCTGCCCGCCTGGCACTCCCTCACCTTCTCCTTGAAAGGAGAGCTCAGGCCATCCTTCAGGTCCTCCTGGAGAAAGTGGCTGAGGGCCTGACTCAGCCTCAGGGCTGCCCTCCTTGACCTCGTTTCCTCCTCTGGGCAGGAGTGGGGAGGGGGCGGTGAGGACACAGCTGACCTCTGAGCCCAGGTCCCCATCCCCATGACTGGGTGTGAGGGGCTGGGTCCTCTCCCCGCCCCAGTCTGGCCTTGGGCACCCCTCCCACCGGATTGCCAGTCCTCCGCCCCCTCCACAGCTGCCGGAGGTGAAAGAGTTAACGAGGTCTGTGGCCGTTTGCTTCCCGGGCTCCTCCTGGATGTATATTTAGCAGACAGGGCAAGGCCCAGGGAGAGGAATGCCCAGATGCCCTGGCACTGTAGCCCCTGATCTGCCACACCACTCCTGGGGGGAGGGGGAGGGGCGATGGAGGGGGGCAGGGATGTGTGAGTTGGCCTTAAATGGAAGGCTGTGGTCTCAGAGAGGACTTCGAGGCCCCAGTAGGAGAGGGCAGGACGTTGCTCTTTTTCCAGGGAGAAGGACTGAGTGACCAGGTCTCCCAGGGACACGGGAGGATTGTGGAAAGAGGGCTGGGATCAGAGGGCTCACTGTGGCGGGCACTGGGGCAGGGCTCGCTGGGAGAGTTCCTTCCACCTACTGAGCCCCCGTGCTGGCCCCAGCCAGGGGGCCGTGGGAACTGAGAGTCTCTGGCAGGGTGCCCCCTCTGGTCCAGGCACCCACCCGACTAGAGCAGAAGAGTTTTTCTAAGTTCTCCACGGAGAGCACTTCCAAGGACACTGCCCTTGAGAGCGTGATGTTGAGAAATAACTGGAGGTGGGCTGATTGCAGAGTATTTTGACTTTGAGAGGGTGGAAACGGTGAAGCAAGTAATCCAATTCCTCCAAGAACCTCTGGGACATTCTGTTCTTGGGAACTATATTTTGTTTGCATGTTTGTTTTTTTTTAATTGGAGTGTCTGCACCCTTCCCAGAGACCCAGGGAGAATTCTGCAGATCTTTACCTCTCATCCCCAGGGCTTGTCACCAGGGGCCCTCCTTTCTTCCCTGGGTCAATGGAGCAGTCCAGCCAGATCCCAGAGAGCCTCCCACTTGTCCTAGAACTCAGTTCCCTGACCCACTGACACCCACTGAGGACTGGAGTACGCGCATCTCTGGGTGGGGCCCCCTCAGCCAGCAGAGAAATGGGCCCTTCCAGAAAAGATCCAGGGGTCGCCTGCCATCAAGACATGCCAGTGGTTACAGGTCTTAGTCTGTTTGGATTCCCCTGACCAGGGATCACCACCCTTCTAGAACTTTCTGTGTCACGAACCCTTATGGAGGTAACTGACCCAAACCCCTTCCCCAGAGTGCCCTCTCTACAAACTATGAGGACGCAGTTTGACCTGATAATTCTTTCTGGGGGGAGACTGTAAAAGTAGGGAGATGGATGCAAGTGAGCTGGTCTGCTGTTTGATGCAAAGAGCACACAAGTGTTGCGGTGAGACACGGTGGGGAAGCCACAGGGCTGGCACCGGAGGACCTGGGTTCCAGGCCCTTCTCTGACACCAATGCACTGTGTGACTTTGGGAAAGTCATTTCCAGCCCCGGGGGTCTCAGTTACTTTGTCTGTAAAATGTGGAGGTTGGACCAGATGGGACCAACGGTCGAGTCCATTGGCAAACTCCTGAGTCCTCCATGAACCTTAGTTCAGCGTAGAAGAGTCTGCTGGATGGGAGGCAACTCACAGAATAGGTAGCATCTTCTGAGCACTTTCCATGGACCAGGCACTAGACTTAACTTTTTCTTTTTCTTTTTTTTTTGCGGTACGCAAGCCTCTCACTGTTGTGGCCTCTCCCATTGCGGAGCACAGGCTCTGGACGCGCATGCTCAGCGGCCATGGCTCACGGGCCCAGCCGCTCCGCGGCATGTGGGATCTTCCCGGACCGGGGCACGAACTCGTGTCCCCTGCATCGGCAGGCGGACTCTCAACCGCTGCGCCACCAGGGAAGCCCTAGACTTAACATTTTATTTGCACCATCTCATAGACTACTACAATAACGGGCAGGAGGTGAAACCGTGTAACTCGGATTAGGACTTGAGCCCGTGTTCTTTTCACTGAGATCACACACCTGGTCTCAGGATTTAATGAAGCTCCGGTTCTTGATGTCTCACCACAGAAAGAATTCAGTGAGAGACAAAGTGATAGGGAAGAAGTTGATTTATTTAGAAAGAAACACACTCCACAGACAGAGTATGGACCATCTCAGAAGGCGAGAGCGGCCCCAGGGTATGGGGTTGTCAGTTTTTATAGGGCTGGGTAATTTCATAGGCTAATGAGTGGGAGAAGTATTCCAGCTATTTTGGGGAAGGGGTGGGATTTCCAGGAATTGGGCCACCACTCACTTTTTGACCTTGACGGTAGGCCTTGGAACTGTCATGGCACCTACGGGTGTGTCATTTAGCTGATGTGTTACAATGAGCGTATACTGAGGCTCAGGGTCTAGTGGAAGCCGACTCCTCTGCCATCTTGGACCCATTTGGTTCTAATCAGTTTTATGTCTGTCCTCAGACTATGTCATTCTTTCAAAGGTTATACCCTGCCCCCTTCCCTCCTGTTTCAGAGGCAGGAATTATTGCATCCATTTTCTAGATGGACATACTGAGGGTCAAAGAGTTCAAGCAATTGGCCTAAAGAACATACCTGGTTAGTGGGGGAGGCAGGACTCGGATCAAGGCCCCTTTACCTCTGCATTCTGTATATCCAACCATTGTGCAAGGCTCAGGGAGACGCTTGAGTTAGCATGGAGCCCAGGTCCAGAGGGAGGTACAGCGCATAGTCTGCACGGCCAGACACACACGGGCACACCTCTCTTTACCCTCACTCTTGGAGTCAGGTAAGAACAGGGGGTATTAATAGTTTGGTGCAGCCGGAGACTGGTGGGTCGGGGAGGGGGCTGCCGGCAGTGAGAGATGAAGCTGGAAAGGTGGGTTGGTGCCGGCATGGAGGCTGCTCTTTCTATGCAGGCTGAGCTCCTGAAGGTTCTTAGGATCAAGTTCTAGAAAGATCCCACCGACGGCATTCTAGACAAGGGATCGATGAGTTAGGATGCTGGATGCCCCTTAGGAGACTACTGCGATGGTCCAGGCTAGTGTGAGTCCAGGACAGAGGCCCAGATGCTCCTGCAGGATATGCTGAGTTTGGAGGAGACCCGGGGACAGAGGGAGGGAAAGCTCACCCGCTCTGTGGCCCCTGCAACACTTCTGGGGAGAAGGAAGGTTGTGGAAGAGGCTGGACGTGGAGACAAGGAGGATACTTTGCCTGTGTTGTGACATAATCCCCCATAAGACGGTCCCTATATTACACCCTGGGTTTCCACCGCTACATAAGTTGGGGGGTTCAGCTCTCTCCCCTCTGCACTGATCAGCCTGTACCTGTCAGGGCTTAGCCCTGAGTCCAGGCATTCAGAGGTGTCCCTCCAGACTCTGGACAGGTACCTAGAGGTGGTCTGAAGGGAAGGGATGCTTGGGGGTGAGCAGAGATCCACCCCCCCGGCAGCCCTGGCGGCCTGGCCTCCCCGCACTCACCTCCCCTTGCTCACTTTGCCACAGCTGGCATTTCTATGCTGGGGGCGCTGGGGCCTGTCCTTATAGGACTCATGTGATGGCTACACGTAAGGAGCCACAGGCCTGGGGGAGGCTGACCCAAACACCGCCCCCTTCAGAACTCTGAACAGTGGCCTGGAGCAGGGCCAGCCGCTGCGATCAAGAGGCTGGAGCCTCTTCCCTTCTCTGAGCACCTCTCCTAGCCATGACCCTCTCCACCTTGAATCTTCCTACCTTACGTGCCTAGAATTCTGGGCTCTTCAGAAGCCCAGAATTCCCCAACTCAGCCACATTCCCTAGCTCCTTTGACCCCAATATGGGAAAAAACGAAGGCCACTCAAATGAGAGCAAGCAGAGACTATTTATCCAGTGTGCTACACAAGAAGTCGGCCACCATCGCGAGACAGGGAGGGGAAAGGTGTCCTAGTGGGGCAAAGGGAAGGTGTCAGGGGTGCCCTGATTGGAGGCCATGGGCACAGTGAAGCTTAGGGGGGCTCATTAGAAGTGGGGTGTCCTTGGGACCTCCCTGGAGGTCCAGTGGTTAGGACTCGGTGCTTTCACTGCTGGGGCTCAGGTTCAATCCCTGGTCGGGGAACTAAGATCCTGCAAGCTGCAGGGCCGGGCGAAAAGAAGAAGAAGAAGAATAGAAATGGGGTGTCCTATGTGACTGGTTAGAGGTGCATACCTGGTTTTCTCTGGTTGGTCCTAAGTTGGAAGCAGGGATGAGAGTCAGGGAAGCTGTCAATCATTTCTGGCCATTTGGGGCGATTGCTACAGGGGTTATTGTTCGGCTTCCTGGACCGGTTGTTCGAGATGGTGATCTGATTTCCTGCAAGTCTGACTTGCAGCTAGCAGGCCAGCTTCCTGGCCGGCTTGCTGTAGATTGTGGGTCAGAGTTCTATTTTTATAGATGCTCTGGCCATTATCCATCTGTATAGTCAGTCTCTCGACAACAACCCGTGAATATTACTCTGGTTTTTCAGGCAAACAAACTAGGAATCGAAAAGGCTAAGTGACCCGCCAAAGTCCCAGAGCCAGTAGGTTTCAGAACTTGGACTGGAGCCCACTGGTTTTGTGCTGCTGTTTTTTCCCCTTCAGTCTTCTGAAGGCAAGGGTCCTGCCCCCTAGCCTCCAGCTCCTATGCCAGTACTTTGAGCACGCTCTCAATAAATATTTATTAAAGGAACTCATACTAACGTTTGAGGCAACCAAGTAGAAATGCAAACAGAGAGTCGGGGGGCGGGGAGTTCCCTGGCGGTCCAGTGGTTAGGATTCCAGGCTTTAACTCTCACGGCCCGGGTTCAGTCCCTGGTTGGGGAACTGAGATTCCGCAAGCCATGTGGCATGGCCAGAAAAATAAATAAAATAATAGAATTAAATAGTAAAGAGTAGGGGATCCTGGCTGAAGAGGCACCTGCAGTTAGAACTGCCGAGCTCTTGGTCATCGTCCCCTCTGGCATCCCGCAAGCGTCTCTGCACTCCCTGCTTGGAAGCTGAAACCACAGGCTGAGACTTGTGAGTCTGGGCCAGTCGGACTGGGAGGGAACCGGCCTCTGGGAGACAAGAGCTGTCTGTCCATGGGCCTGTCCACCCCCCTGTTATAATCAGCGTACTGGGGGATCTGGTCCAACCTCGCTGAGTGAAAGGGACAGCTAAGAGCTGAGAAGGACACTTCCTCCCAGGAGCTGGCCTGGGGGCATGGCCAGGTGCTGGGGATGGGAGCCTGGGGCCCCCGCTGGAGGCAGAATTCTTAGGTGGCCTCGTGATCTCCGTCTCTGTCCTCAAGAGTTATTCCATAATTATATCATGTTACACAGTCAGAGAGATTCCCGGTGTGGAGAGAACCATACCGTGGGGCAAGGGCAGCGGCCTGAGGGCGGGTGGCCTGATGGGTCAGGTGATGGGGGTGGGGGGGTGGGTCAGGTGACCTGGCTGCCAGCGGGTTCTGTACTTGCCCTGAGACTCCACCAGCCCTAGTTTCTGTATCTGTGAAGGGAGGCGCGTTGGCCTGAGTAATCTAACCTTACCAATTATGATCCAGGTTCCTTTGAGGCCAGGATTAAGGCCAGCTCCCCTGGGTTACGCGGGTCAGGTGGGTGTAGGTGGCTCCTTGGTCCCGGGGAAAGAGACAAGCAGATGAAATCATTTCCGGATGTGGGTGTGGTATCCGCAGGCCCGAGTGATTCCCTCAGGGCCCCTCATCCCCTCACCCCAGCGCCCCCCCCCCCCCCCCCCCCCCCCCCCCCCCCCCGCCCCGCCCTCCGCAGCCTCAGTTACTCTACAACCTCAGGCAACACCTATGAAGCAAAAAAATGTGTGGCCGTTGATCTTTCCCAGGGCTTGATTCTGCTTTCTCCCCGAGCCCCCCCGCAGGAGGAGGGGTGTGGTCACAACTGATAAAGACTTTTTTTTTTTTTGGCCACGCCTTTCGGCATGGGCATGGGGGATCTTAGTTCCCTGACCAGGGATAGAACCCGTTTACCCTGCGTGGAGCCTTAACCACTGGACTGTCAGGGAAGTCCCCTGATAAAGACTTCTGAATCCCACAGCCTGGGGAGCCTCCAGGCACCTGGCTCACTGCACACAATGTTGTGCATTGGGAGTCTGAGCCCAGGCTGGGGAGGTGACTGACCCCTCGCGACACTCACTCATGGCCCTTCTGACTTCCAGGTGGACACAACTCTGCAGGAGAAAGGGAGTGGGCAGGGCCCGTCAAGCAGCTGCCTTTAGACATCTCAGTGGCTCTGCCACCTTCAGCTTTCTCTCTTCTTTCTTGTCTCCAGAAAGGCATCCCACAGAGGGCTTGGTCCCTGAAAAGCTAAGGAAAGAAAAAAGCATGCAACTAGAGATTATCATACTAGGTGAAGTAAGTCAGAAAGAGAAAAACCAATACCATATGATATCACTTATATGTGGAATCTAAAACGTGACACAAATGAAAGTATCTATGAAACAGACATAGAGAACAGACTTGCGGTTGCCAAGGGGGAGGGAGGGAAGGATTGGGAGGTTGGGGTTAGTAGATGCAAACGATTACATATAGAATGGATAAACAATAAGGTCCTACTGTAGAGCGCAGGGAAATATATTCAACGTCCTGGGATAAACCATAACGGAAAAGAATATGAAAACGAATGTACGTATACGTATAACTGAGTCACTTTGCTGTATAGCAGAAATTAACACAACATTGTAAATCAACTACACTTCAATAAGAAATTTTTCTTTTTGAAAAAGAAAGAGAAAAAGTGTCATGTAGGCTGGGCAGACGGAGGAGAGACACAGAAAACAAGCTGAGGATGCAGAGGGTGGGGTTCTGGGAGAAAAGGAAGTTGTAACCCGTTTAGCAGCCAGAGAGGCTAAGAGGAGACAGGATGAGAAGATGCACAAAGAAACTGGACTTGGGAGACAAACCTCTCCTTGGGCAGAGGAGCTGCCGCTTGGTGCCAAATCAGATTTGGCAAAGGGCACGCAGCTTTCATTACAGACTCAGTTGTGGATGATTGGTGCTGATGGAGAGAAGGGAGCCGTGGTCCACAGGCCTCTGTCACCTCTCCAGGCTTCCAGCAGTGGGTCCCCTGGCCTCTCACCTCCAGGTGTGTCCCCTCCTCTCTCTGCAGCCAGAGTCACCTGTTTATTTTATTTTATTTTTTTTAATTTTTTGGCCACGCTGCACAGCTTGTGGGATCTCAGTTCCCTGACCAGGGATCGAACCCGTGCCTCCTGCTGTGGACGCGTGGAGTCCTAACCACTGGACCGCCAGGGAAGTCCCACCAGAGTCATCTTTCTCGATGCAGTCCTGACCCTGCATAGAGTCACTGCGCAAAGCCCTCTGCTGGCTTCCTGTTGCCTCGGGGGAAGTCCTGCCCTTTCCGGGGCCTGGCACCCAGCCTCTCAGCCCATCTCTCCCCGCATACTCCCTCCCAACCACACCTCCTCAGTGCCTGACACATGGATGTTACTATCCGTTAAATTCGTACCAAGTGCACAAATGATAACAGGAAGTCCAGCCCATTGGAGAGTTTCCTTTTCGTTTTGGAATTCCGGGCAGTGCAGGCGGCACCTGCGTGCACACCAGCCTGAGCGCCTTTGCTGTGTTCCTCTGCCCAGTGACGCTGCAGAGAATGTCTGGGCCCCAGGGAACTGGGCGGCCACCTGGGCCTCAACCACCCCCATCCCTTGCTGCCTGTCTGTCGCTGGCTGCCCTCCATGGGGTCCCAGAGGAAAGGAAGGGCTGCAGGCCCAACAGATGGCTTTTGATGGGAGCTCTGGATTACATTGTTTGACTACCTGGACAGGGGCCCCTTTGAGTCCTCCAGGCCCTGAAACTCACCAACAGGAGTAGAGAGCAAGGTCGAATCTGAGGTGGGTCTGAGATGCCAGCTCCTGGGCGAAGGAGGAGAAATCTGCACAAAGCATCCTTCTGCAACGAGGGGCCCCAGCGGGGAGGCCTGCAGCTAAGAAAACATTTCTAGTGGTTTTTTGCTGCGGGCACCTACATTCCTGAATAGCTAAAGGGGAGCAGGCCCCAGATGCTGGGGGCAGGGAGAGGCAACTCACCTGGCCTTGCTACAAGGAACAGGCATTGAAAGGAGCTAGAAATGGGAGCAAGTTAAGGGCAGAACTTCAGGGAAGCCTGGAGCCTACAGACAGGTCCCAGCTTTCTCTTGGGGGGCAGAGAGCTATGTGCAGTGTTGAGCTTCTGCTTGCGGGGGTGGGGGGGCGGTCCCATCTCCATGAGGCTTTCAGAGAAAGGAATTTGCAGCAGAGGGAGAGGAGTGCCTTTCCTCTCTATTCCTAGATTCCAGAGTGTATCTGGAAAGAGCTGGGGCCAGGCACGTTGGTCGCCCGACCATGGCTGGGTGGAACCAAGTGGGGCAGCTCTTTGGCCAGGAGTCGAGAGTCTCTTTAGCTCCAAAGGACACCACTCTGGATCCCAGACCCAAAGCAACAGGCATTGTGGAAGGCAGAATTCTAAGATTTCCCCTGGGTGTTGCCCTTGAGATTGTTTTTCATTAAATGGCAAAAGAGATTTTCAGTGGAATTAAGATCACTAATCAGTTGACCTTCAAATAGAGTGGTTACCCGGGTAGGTCTGCCCTAAATTGAAAGCGCCCTTTATACATTCATACACATATATATATATATATATATATTTTTTTTTTTTTTTTTTATTTATTTTTTTTGCCTGTGTTGGGTCTTCGTTGCTGCGCACGGGCTTTCTCTAGTTGCGGGGAGTGGGGGCTACTCTTCGGTGTGCGGGCTTCTCATTGTGGTGGCTTCTCTTGTTGCGCAGCACGGGCTCTAGGCGAGTGGGCTTCAGTAGTTGTGGCTCGGGGGCTCTAGAGTGCAGGCTCAGTAGTTGTGGCGCACGGGCTTAGTTGTTCTGTGGCATGTGGGATCTTTCCGGACCAGGGATCGAACCTGTGTCCCCTGCATTGGCAGGTGGATTCTTAACCACTGCGCCACCAGGGAAAGAGCCTTTTAAAAGCAGAGAGTTTTGGGACTTCCCTGGTGGTCCAGTGGTTAAGACTCTACTCTTCCATTGCAGGGGGCGCAGGTTCAATCCCTAGTCAGGGAAGTTCCTCATGCCGCGAAGTGCGGCCAAAAAAAAAAAAAGTAAAGTTTGTCTGATGGCAAAGGGAGAGTCAGAGATTCTAAGCAAAAGAAGGATTTGATGCACAGTCAGTGGCTTTGAAGATGGAGGACTGCAAGGAAAGGACTTGAGAGCCAACTCTAGGAACTGAGACTCTGTCTCAGCCAGCAAAAGCACAGGGACCTCAGTCCTACAACCACAGGGAACTGGTCCTGCCAATGACCTAAATAAACTTGGGAGCGAATTCTTTCCCAGAACCTCCAGTAAGAGCTCAGCCTGGACAACTCCTTGATTTTGGCCTTAAGTCTTAAGCAGAGACCCAGTCAAGCCCACCCCAGACCTCTGACCTACAAAACTTGGAGCTAATAAATGGGGCTTGTTAAGCCTTTAAGCTTGTGGTGACTTGTTACTTGGCAATATAAGTGCCTACACAGTGAAGGTTCCAGGTCATGCATGTTGACCCAAGTGAGAAGGAAAAGGCATGATTCTGATTTCACCCACAACCTTGGGGTTGCAGCCTCTTCCTGCACTCCGGCTGTGCCCCTCCTCCACACAGAGGCATCGAAATCTCTGTCCATGTAGCCTCTGCCAGAGGGCCAAGCTCCAATCACTGGGCTAGGAAGTTTGGGAACAAACTATTTATCAACAGACCAATTACAGGTGAAGGACACAGCTTCTTAGGCCTAATTATCCATGTTTCTTATACGTTTGCTTCTCTGCTAGCTTTTCCTATATTTCTGCCCATTTCTGAAACTGTTGGGTCTCTCAGTCTTTAACAAAAGCAAAACCCCTTCCAGCAAGTTATCTAGGACTCCCTGTCAGGACCCAGACTATTCTTCCAGAGAGTCCCTTAAAACTCAGAATGAATTGTTGTCTCTCTCTTGGTCCCATGACCTAAATGACTTGATTCATCCCGTGGCAAAGATGGTTAGCTGTCCATCCAAATCTCTGCTCCCCTTCCATAGTATAGAGTTTTCGCTGAGGAGCTGAGACTACATTTCCCAGCTGCCCTTGCAACTAGGTGTGGTCATGTGACTGGTTCCCACCAATAGAATGTGAGCAGAAGAAATATATGCCAACCCCATAAGAAGCAGGGTAAGAAGAAGGTGTGCCTCCTCCGCACACCCCTTCCTCTTCTGCCAGCTGGATGTAGATGACAATGAGACCCTGGAGAATGGCAGAGCCCCGAGATGGAGAGAGCCTGAGTCCCTGGATCACCATATGGAGGAAAGCCACTGGCCAATAAATAATGCCTGCCTCAGACTTGCCTGGTGGCGCAGTGGTTGAGAATCCGCCTGCCAATGCAGGGGACATGGGCTCCAGCCCTGGTCCGGGAAGATCCCACATGCCACGGAGCAACTAAGCCCATGCACCAGAACTACTGAAGCCTGCGTGCCGCAACAAAGAGTAGCCCCCACTCTCCACAACTAGAGAAAGCCCGCGTGCAGCAACAAAGACCCAACACAGCCAAAATAAATAAATAATTTTTTTCAAAAAAAAGAATGCCTGCCTCAGTATGTTATATGAGATATATGAGTAAGAAATAAAATTCTAAGATATTTAGACCATTATACATTTAGGGGTCTATTTATTACTGCTTTTTAGCCTACCTTTTACGATACACACCCCTCTACTAGGCCCGCGATCTGAAACAAAGTGCACAAGATGCTGACTAAACTCCTAGGATGAAAACCTCCAAATATCCCTGTATTTCACTGCCTTTGGCCGGCTCCCATGCCTGTCCTGGCTCACACTGTCTGCTGCAAAGTCTGGCTGACTCACCTGGCCTGGGCCACCATCCATCTGCTGTCAGCGAGTGCCTGGCTCACAGAAAAATGCACATTTATTCCCCCAAAACATAGGGTTCCTTTTCCAGCAAAGGTGGTGTAGCAATATATTTGGAGAAGCGAGCTACTATTCAGCACCCGGGCCCCTGGTACTTTGGGACGCAGCCAGGGGAGCAGACATGTTCAGACCCAGCTCTCTAAGGAAAAGGTGCCAGCGCTTGGAGAAGAGGTGGACCAGGGTGATGGAGGCCCTCCCTCCATGAGGTGACTACTCTCTCAGAAAGCAATTGAGCATTTCTTGGTAGCCTCAGGGACAGCCTCAACTTTTTGTACTTTTCCCCCCGGGGAGGCAGAGGCGTGGGGGAGGAGAGCCTCTGTAGCCGCAGCTCTTGAAAACTCTGCTTCGTGATGTGGCATTGAGAAGACTCCGAGAAGCTCTCCGCAGAAAGGCAGCCCCACCCTGCCCTCTGCCTGGGGATGCCCGCTCCCGCACCAGCCGTGGTCTCGGGTATAAAGAGCCCATCGTCTGCCTGAAGCAGCAGCAGCGCGAGGAGCCCTGGGAGGGACTGCAGTGGGGACCGAGATGCAAGAGGGCGCCACCCACTGTCCATACCTTGAGTACAGTTCTGGATCCCCAGCCCCAGTAGAGAGGACAGGCTTGACTGTGAACAGCCACGCAGCCTAGAACAGGTCCAATAGGACTGGGGCTCTATGGTAGCTCATGGATGTCACAGCCCAGCTCCCGTATGGGATCTAGATGTCCTGGAGGTCATAAACTTACACAGCAGCCCATGCTTCAAAGGGCTTCAGGATGACTCTGCCCCAGCAATATCCAGGGCAAATTTGCTTTTGATGTGAGTCTGGAAATAACAGTGGCAGACTCCCCAGGGCCCAGAAGTCTAGCCACTGGCTCCTCCTGGCTTTTATGCAACCAGATGCAGAGCCTAGCACAGAGGTTAAATGACAACAACCCGACCTGGGCTGCCCCACAGATGCCCAGAACCCACTCAGAGAGGGTCAGCGAGGGTCCCTTGGCCTCCCATACCTCTAGGTGGTCACACAAGAGCCCTGAATCCTCCATGTGCAGCCAAAGGGGCGCCCCTGCTTCCCGTCCCAGGCAGCTCTTGGCACTAACCCTGAAGTGGTGACGAGCTGAGGAACCAGGGCTGGGTGCACCTCATGCGAGATACATTTAGAGATTTTTTTTTTTTTTTTTTTGCTGCACTGCGTGGCCTGCGGGGTCTTAGTTCCCTGACCAGGGATCGAACCCGCACCCCCTGCCATGGAAGC